TAGTAACTAAGCATAGATGAGTAGGCAACTGAGAAAGAAAAAAATTATATTTGAACTTGATGTTATATGATACTTTAATGCAATTCATATATTTTATATTATTTTGTTCATGTAATATTTGGATTTTAATTCTATTTTATATAATTTTTTATTTAACACTTTATATTTTGTACAATTTTTTGTTTCATATGAATGTAAATTTGTTACTTCATAGTTCAATAAATGTTAATATGTATTCTATTTAATATATTATTTAGATATTATATAAAAAATAACTTTTAACTTTTATTTTGACTTTACGCAATTTTTAGATTTTGAGGCTTACACCTTAAAACGCCTTGAGGCTTACGCCTCGCCTCAAGAACGAAAAACGCCTCAATACCCAATTACGCAATTTTAAACCTTAATTACTTTATTATAAAGCAATAACAAACTTTAATGAAGTAAAGGAGAGATTCTCTTCCTGGTACACTTTTTATAAAAACAATTAAAAGTATATCTTAGTGGCTATTTTTCTTTGTGTTGGGGGCCATTATGTTATCTATTGTTGTTTTCTTTTTGGTGCACTCACTTCCAATTTTTTGTCATGTTTTAAGTTGTTACGAAATTTTGTTTTGTAGATTGAAACATTTTCTCATCTTTCGAATTACCAAAATGACATGTGATCTATTGTTTGTATTCGTTCATGATTTTTTCTTTTATTTGCTTACTAGTCTCATTAGGATATTTTCATCATAATAAATCACGAGTAGATTTAAGGGAAAATTCTTCTTTTTTGGGGTCTAATGATTTGATTGGCAGTAATATCTTTCTTGATTTGAGTTCTCTTTTAATTTTTCTTCCACTATAGTAGTTGTCCACCATTTAATGGCAAAATTTCAAAACAAGTTAATAATGATACTAAAAATTTCTAAATTCTATGGTTCTATTCTTGGAATTTAAGATTGATAGTAAAAATAAAATTTATGTACTCTATCAATAAGATTTCAGAAGTTATATAGAGAGAATATCTAATTCAGGTAATATAAACTTTCTTATATTAGTTGTCCACCATTTAATGGAAAAATATCTGTAGTAGCATTACATTTGTCCTACCATTTAAAAAATCAATTCGAATGTATTTATTGATACTTAGGCATTAAAACCATCATCCAAGAATGCTCATATTTGAGATTTTTGATGTAGAAGGTTTTTATCATTACTTTTACATATTTCCAATAATTGAAAGTAATTTTTCCCACCATTTGTAAAACCAAATTGGAATTGATTTATTGATAACCTTAGGCATAAAAACCATCATCCAATAATGCTTTTATCATTAGTTTTATATATGTTCAGTAGTTAAAAGTGATTTTTCTCTTATGACGAGTTTGAGTGTTAAAATACTTCATTGATTTGTCTTGAAAAGGAGTTAATTCCAATTCCTTATGGTGAATATTTCTATTAGTTGTAGCCTTGGTATAAGCGATAGATTTTTTTGGTTCCTTATAGTTGTGTTGAATTTTAATACAATATAATGAGATTAAGATTACTTCATAAATGTTAGATGGTGATATTTATACCATACTCATAGAAATCTCACATCTAACTTGCATTCACATAATTAAAATTAGAAAGAGATTCAACTCATGCAAAAGTTCAATGAACTAAATGAGTCAAATCTTCCACCACCAAGGCCATCCTCTCTACTTTATCGCATTAATATGCATATGTTAGTGGATTTCATGTAGTTACCGTCAACCTAATGCAAAATAGATGCACAAAACGTATGTAAAGATTCAAGATAAAACACAAAAATTTTCACTACAACTACTATTCACTTGAGATAGTCCATAGAAAAACAAAAATTGTCATAAAGAATTTTATCAACATACAAGTACCAAAAAAATAATGGATGATTTAGGAGAGGCCTAGGTGATGCGAATTTCTTAACATTGAGGCAATTTAAAAAATTTAACACTTAATGCAATTTAACGTGGTGTATTGTTCAAAATGAAGATTGTCACCCTTGTTTATAAGTGAACTCCACCTCAGCAATCTTTACATAATTTTAAAATACTCGAAATGCATTGGCACTATCGTAAGTACTGGAATTCTTATAGATTTATTCTGCATGCCCAGCTTCGAACTACTTCCTGATTACCATATAAACATTTCGATGGAAAATAAAATACTTCTCAACTGAAAGATCAGAAGTTCATTTGTAGAATTGAAATAAACTACTGTAGCAAAACCAACTATATACAAAAGCACTTTCAACCAATTACTGAATATAATATAAAAAGACAAATAAAGTAAAAAAGAACTTATCAATTAGGTTTTGAAACTTGAGGACATTACATCTCGAATGATTGGAAAAAGAAATGTATTAACATTTTGAAGAAAAATTTTATTCACCTTCCTTGACTATTTGCAAAAGTTTTAATCTCATTTTATAGCGGTGCTTTTATAGGGAAATCACTTTGGGTAAGGTGATATGCAGGCTAGAGCGCCTTGCTTACTTTTCACCTGGGTGCTATCACTAAGTTGTTACTTGATTTAAGAAATTGGTGGCAACACTTCCAATGATGATGTTGAGTTTGTTTTTGATGATAATAATATAATATGACATCAAGTGTAGATCAAAGAAGGTTCAAAGTTGGGTTTGATATATCAGTGTTCAAATTCATTTTCATCCAAAAGTTTAAGCTCATGAGTGAGGAAAATCATTGGGCATTTTATACTAACATAATTTTAAACTATTCAATATGCAACTAATCTCATATTGATGTGCCTCAACAATCTCCTCTTTACATGAGAGCTTGGAACATCAGCCATTGCTTTCCCTCAAACAAAATATTTTTAATATCATCAAGTATCACACAATAAGAGCGCACTTAATCATCTGGATCCATCATGAGATTCACCCACTTTTGAATTTTGCTCAACCATAATAAAAATTAACCCATACCAATAGGAGCCTCAAGCCACATTCACCGCTTGATCTAAGTTGAACTACTTATTCTAATACTACTTATTAGGAAACTTGAATTAAATGTGGACTAAACTTGGGCTTGATATGGTAGTGGTGTACCTTATTTCGACACAATAGCATAGCCTACGGGTGAGGGCTAATCATTCGATATTTTAACATCAATATATTTCTCTATTATATGATATGAGGCCAAATCCAATATTCTTATTAGGGGTGTCAATTTCAGGTGACGGGTCGAGTTCGGGTCGAACCTGGAAATGACCTGGCACAATTCGGGTCAACCCGAACCCGACCCGTTTGTAAAAACTAGTCGATTTTCCGGACCCGAACCTGACCCGCTTTGAGTTCGGGTCAACCCGACCCGACCCGGGGACACGGCAATGCCTTGAGCAGCCTCGAGAACAACAGCGATCGCGGCATCGGCCGTCTCTTCAGCCGGTGTTCGGCGGCAGCGGGACACGACAGCAGGGCCAGCATATGCGACGTAAGGTGCGTGGCAAAGCAAACCGTCACGCAACAAGCGGGCAGCTGGTTTGCTGGGCAGTGCAGCGGGCAGGTTAGCCGGTCACGCGGGGGGGGGGGCAAGCGGTCTCAGCAGATGCACTCGGTCAGCGTTCAATCTGGGTCATTTTCGGGTTTCCGGCAACCCGAAAAACCCAAAAACCCCGGGCGGGGTTTTTTTTGAAACGGGTTGAAAACTCAACCCGAACCCGAAATTTTCTAGCTGTCGGTTTCGATTCGGGTTTTCGGGTCGTGTCAAATATTGACACCCCTAATTCTTGCATTTTCAAGTAATACAAATGCAGGTTAGATTACCATAGGCAAAACTATTGCAAACTTAAACTAGTTTAGTTGTGCTTGTTTTTAAGTAAAATATTTAAATTGTGTTTTTGAACTTTGGATGCAATGAACATGAAGTTTTTTTTTTTTTTTTTTTTATAAAAAATCTCATTTGATGAGTACTGTTTAAACTTCAACTTTGGTTTGTTTGCTAGCAACTTTAGTTTTCATCGTGAGCAAATTCCTATCATAAATTAGCAAAAGTGGATCTTTGATGTAAGAAAGATTAATCTGAATTCAATTTAATAATGGGTCATTGTTGATGACCATTTGCTTGATATTTTTCTTCTTTCCCCTCTTAATTGATCTTTGAATTGCATACTTTTCTGCTTAAATTTACCCTTAATGGGAGGACATGAATTAGTCCTTTAGAGAGAAAATAATAAAGGGAATGCGTGGTGGTGGATCGGCCTAGCGAGAATCCTGAGACTTGGATTTCTGTGCAGCACATGACTCAGTGACTGTCAAGTGTCTCGACTATCTTGTTTGGACTTTTAATTAATCTTTGATTGTTGGTGTTTTGATTATCTTTTGTTATAATAATCTTATTGTTCTCTCATTTCATTTATTATACTATTTACCACTTCTATCTTAAAAATTTTCATTCAACTTATCGAACTAAAATATTTTACTTAAATAATTTGTGCCCCGACAAGAAAAAATTCCTGGCTCCGCGCCTGTCTGTGCTTGCCATTTTTGGGTGAGAGAAAGGGTATTGCCATAGTGAGAGAGATAAAGGGTGTTGGATAGAGGATCCTATATGGAGAGAGAGAGAGAGAGAGAGAGAGAGAGAGAGAGAGAGAGGGTGGTAGTGGATAAGGAAACTACAAGAGAGAGGCAAGATAAGAAAGGAGGTAGGGGATTGGGCAGCAGCGGAATCCTAATGCAAAGGACACCAACATATCAAAATGCTTAATGAAGCATTGCTTACAAAATGTGTCTAAAAAGTTAAAGAATATTTATTAAATTATTAGCATTCTTTATTTTAAAGAGTGAAAAAAGGCTCTTTTTTTATAGTAACCACATTTATTTAGTTTAGTATGTAAACATGACAACTGAATGGCTGCTTTTCATGTGAAGTGATTCTCTCTTTTGGGTTTTGATGACGCCTCCTTTCCCGTTCCCAAAATAACTAAGTATCAGTTTGTCAATGCACATACCTTACATTATGCTATAACATGCACAGATTCAATAGGAAGTGTTCCTTTATGGGAAGCAGTTCTCGGCAAGCATGAACCTGTAATAAGGCTCCTGATAGACAATGGTGCAGACCTCTCCCATGGTGACATGGCTCAGTATGCATGCACAGCAGCAGAACAGAACAGCATAGAACTGCTCAAGGACATAGTCAATTACGGTGGTGATGTGACGCTTACAAGAAACGATGGGAGCACAGCTCTTCACCTTGCAGTTTGTGAAGGAAACTTTGAAATGGTCAAGTTCTTGCTTGAGCAAGGAGCTGACATTGACAAGCAGGACATTCATGGCTGGAGCCCATGCGGATTAGCTGAACAACAGGGCCATCAAGAGATAATCTCGCTCTTTTTGACAAACAAAACCTCTCAGGATGAGAGCTCTTGTAGTGATCAGAAGAAGGATGACAGCCCTGTAATTCTAACTCTTGGAAGATTCAGGAGTGAGACCTCCACAGCAATCCGATCTCTCGGAAGATTCAGGAGTGAGCCCGTAATGGTGCAAGGTTCACAAGAAGTTATCCCTCCCACTGGCGAGGGGGCTTCAAAGAGAGGTCAACAGAAGCTGAATTTGAATAACTTTTCCAACTCTCTCTTTGGTATCATGTCCTCAGCTGCTCAAGCTGATAGGAGTAGTAGTCCTTTACTCTCTTCTAGATCAACTACTTTAAAGCCTGGTTTTGGATATTATCCTGGTCATCATCAACAACACCAACTTGGTAACCATCATCATCATCATTCTCTCCGCAGGATTACAATAAGCTGTCCTGAGAAGCGAGATTCCAGTAGTAAGCTGGTGCTTCTCCCAAAATCTATTGAGGAGCTTCTCTCTCTCGGCTATAAGAAATTTGGTTTCCAAGCTGCCAGAGTTGTTACGAAGGATGGGGCTGAAATCGATGATGTGCAGATCATACGTGACGGTGATCATCTTCTTCTGGTGAGTAATTTGTGGGGAGGGAGAAATAGCAGCATTTCATAATGTGAGATAGATTTTTTTTTTTGTTTAAATGTTTATGCTATGAAGAAGAGATGAAAGTCTTGTTTTAAAGAGTTTCAGTTCAGTTCCCATCTTTAAAATTTTTGTTGGGATTTTCTGCGCTGAAGTTTTCCTGTGTAAGAAGATCAGTGGATCTTAGACTTTTTATTACATGCCGAGATCGGATGGGGAAGAAAACTGTCTGGATTGTCTTTGTGAACAATAAAAGTGGTTCACTGGACTTTTATTGTTCCTTGCCGCGCGCTTTTACTGTTCACAGAGATAAATCTGGACAATTCTTTGTGTCTGATGTCTGCACGTAATAATCTCTCGGGATCCTATTGTGAAGATGCCGTAGCAATCATCTGAAGGAGGATTTGTAGTCAAAGACAAATGCATATTTATTGATATTAAAATTGCTTCTCATTTTATGGTAAAACATTGCTGTCTATTAGAATTGCACATACATTGAAGTTTCTTCTTCCGTAATTTTCTTAAAATGAACCGGCATGAAGCATTCTGTAAGTTCTGTTTCAGGGGCTCCACATACAATGTTTAGCGTAGCTTCGTGCATCCTTAGGTTTCGTTTGGTACATCTTTTTTATTGTTTCATTTTTTCAATGATAACTATAGTTTCTGTCATTATTTTTTTACTGATTTCATGAAATTTTTATATTAAAAAATTATTTCCTACAGCAACTTAAAAAAAAATTATTTTTGCGAGATAGGGGGATGAGTCTTTCTCTCAAATTCTTTAAATGATTACTTGTATATTACTAACTGATTTACTACTGTACAATAAATTCACTGTTAATGTAAATTATGTTGTCATGCTAAAAAATTAGGGTTCGGCTAGGCATGCCGACGAAGCCATTTCTACTAGTTACTGACACCGTGGGTGATCTCATCTGTGGTGTAATTGAGTTAATTTTGTTGATTATATAAAATTACTTAATTAGATATATTGGAATTTCAAATATTCGTTGATGAAACTGCAAATTTTCATAGTAGATGATCTTAAAACTTTTGAGGAAATATTTTTTAGCTCAATGCTTTGTCGATTTTGTAAAACCTGAACAGACGATCGTAGGCCGTCGCACGAAACTGAAGTAAAAAATAAAGTTAATGGATTTTGATGAAAGTAATTTTTGTAAAATTCTATGCAAAATTCTGAACGATTTAATATATAGATCTTATAGGTAATTTTATGTATTTTGGGAAATAAAAATTCTAGAAGTTTAGAAATACCCATAATTCCCTTGCTTATTTCTTAAGGCGGGATGTTTTAAATGAGGGTGTAATGATCTTTTGGCAATACCCATCTTCCTATTATAGCAAACCAAAGCTCCCTCCCTCATTTCCATTCACATACTTCGGCCAAACCAAGCGAAACGGCAGACAGGCGGACGACAAAGGCTTCGACGGGGTGGCTCTGGCGATGATTTTCCGACAAGGAAATTAGTGAAAATCAAAGAGGACGACGAGGGGAATCTTAAGGTATGATTTATATAAAATGAACCACTCTCAATCTCAAGATTTTTGGAGAAAAATTTTAGGGCTTTTATCAAAAATTGAAATATCTTAATGTGATTTTACAAATATGGTTCATAAGGGTCTCTAAGGAATTAAATTTGATTTTTCTCACAAAATAATATTTTTTAATTTTTAAAATTAATAAATCCAAACATTTGTTTTCCATAAATATTTTTTTGATGAATGGGTTTTCCAAATTTAGGATTTTAGATTAAATCCGAAAATGAAAATTATTTTGAATTAAATTAGGTTAGGGCAAAGGATTAATTTGGATAAAATATATAATTAGACCAAAGTATAAAATTTTAGAATTGTTATACGACTTATGTTTTAAATGAGAGAGAGAGAGAGAGAGAGAGAGAGAGAGAACCTTTAGAAGTTTTATAGGAGTAGATTCATTAAATTTGAGATGATTAGCTTTAGTCATTGAATATTAAAATATTTTCTTATAGGTGTTATTTTTTATGACCTCGAAGGAAGGAGGACTAGCGAAGAGAATCAATTTCCTAATTTCTAGTAAGTATTTATGGTTCTTTATTAAAGTAATACTTTTTATTTCTTTCTAGTTATATGTTTGAAAGACCAAACAAGTTTATAAAATTTTTATAGTCAATTTAGATCATGATTCTGTTACTTTTGTCTAAGGATTGATCATGCAATTTATATGTTATATTTTATGTCATTATCATATAATGTTTAAATGTTATAGAAATGAGATGATATGATTGTTATTGAATGCTTATATGGCATGCTAAATTGATGGAGCTCGCCCTCTTATTGTATTAGTTGGGGACGTTATACTCGTACACGTTAAAATGATAAAGGATATGAAAAAGGAAATTATGAAGGAGTATCTTTATGGTACTAGATGATGGCTCATATGACTTTCGTTCCCGCCTCGCCTATAGTGATTGTTTTAAAGATTAGATATTTTAGTCTATCGTCCGACTTCCGTTCCCGCCTCGCCTATACGAGTTCACCGGGCCGAGTCGTGGCAAAAGTGATATCAGAGCAAAGATTTACTATTGATAAATGAAAGAGCCTATAGGAGAATTGTATGTGTCTTAGAATGTGTAGGAAGTGTGAAATTTATGAATTATTCACCTTATAATTATTTTGTTTTATCTCAAAAATATGGATCCGGAGCCGAATGCCACTGATGGCATTGATGGTGTAGAACGAAGGGAGCTACCAAAAATAACAGAATCTCAGAGGAATAATAATAGTAACACTATGGAGTCATTTGTTTAGATGATGGAAGCAATGACTCATATGGGCTAAAGACCTCCCAAACTCAGACCAGTAGCAGTGAAAGTTGTTCTATGGACAAGAACTTGAAGCTTTTTCAAGATATGAAGCCTCTATTATTTTTAAGTGGTGGACCTATAGAGGATGAAGATTGTCTGATATGGATAGCGAAAATCCTGGAGGGCATATCTTTCCTAGGGGATAGGAGAGTGACACTTGTTGCTTATACCTTTGATGGTGAGGTAGAAAGGCGGTGGTGTAGTCAGTTGCAAGAAATTTTTGGTGGGTGACCTAGTAATCAAGTCTTTTGGGAGGAGTTTATGAAAGTATTGAGAGGCTGGTATGTGCCTATGTCAGCTAGGAGACAAATACATGATAAGTTCAATATATTGGTTCAGGGAGATCGATCAGTTTCTCAGTATGAGATAGAGTTCATAATGTTGTCCAGGTATGCCCCACACCTGATACCCAATATTGAAGAGAAGTGTCGCCGCTTCTTGACTAGACTAAAGGACATAATAAGATAGTCTCTTATTCCTTTTGGAATTGAAGATTATTCCACTTTAGTGGAAAGAGCCATAAGAATTGAGATGGACAGGTAGGCAACCTATCTCCATTAGAACAACTTCCACTTGCCACGGTCTGAGTTTTGAGAGGTCTTAACCCATCTAAGTCATTGCTCTCCATCATCTAAACAAATGGCTCCATAGTGTTACTTATTATATTTCCTTCTGCAATTCTGTTATTTTTGGTAGCTCCCTTCTTCTACACCATCAATTGCCCGATTAAAACAAAATAAATTATAAGGTGAATAATCATAAATTTCACACTTCCTACACATTCTAAACATATACAATTCTCCTATAGGCTCTTTCATTTATCAATAGTAAATCTTTGCTCTGATATCACTTTTGCCACGACTCGCACCTGATGAACTTCCGTATAGGCGAGGCGGACGGAAGTCGGGACGATAGGGACTAAAAATCATCTAATCTTTAAAAACAATCACCATAGGCGAGGCGGGGGGAACGGAAGTATATGAGCCATCATCTCAGTAACCATAAAGATACTCCTTCAAATTTCCTTTTTTCATATCCTTTATCATTTTAACGGTGTACGAGCTATAACGTCCCCAACTAATACAATAACGATGGGCGAGCCCATCAATTTAGCATTGCCATATAAGCATTCAATAACAATCATATCATCTCATTTCTATAACATAAAACATTATTATGATAATGCATTTAAAATATAACATATAAATGCATGATCCAATCTTAGACAAAAAGTAACAGATCATGATCTAAATTGGCTATAAAAATTCTTATAAACTGTTTGGTCTCAACATAAACTAGAAAGAAATAAAAAAGTAATCACTTTAATAAAGAACCTATAAATACTTACTAGAAAATTAGGGAATTGATTCTCTTCGCTAGTCCTCCTTCCTTCAGAGGTTCATAAAAAATAAACCACCTATTAAGAAATATTTTAATATTCAATGACTAAGCTTTAATCATCTCAAATTTAATGAAATTTCTACTCCTATAAAACTTCTAAAGGTCTCTCTCTCTCCTCTCTCTGTCTCTCTCTCTCTCTCTCGCTCTCTCTCTCATTTAAAACATAAGTCGTATAACAATTCTAAATTTATACTTGGTCTAATTATATATTTATCCAAATTTAATCCTTACCCTAACCTTAATTTAATTCAAAATAATTTTCATTTTTCGGATTTAACCTAAAATCCTAAATTTGGAAAAAAAAACCCATTCATCAAAAAAAAATATTTATGGAAAACAAATGTTTTGGATTTATTAATTTTAAAAATTAAAAAAATATTATTTTGTCGAGAAAATCAAATTTATTTCCCTTAGAGACCTTATGAACCCATATTTGTAAAATCACATATAAGATATTCAATTTTTGATTTAAAAGCCCCTAAAATTTTTTTCTCTAAAAATCTTGAGATTGAGAGTGATTCATTTTATATAAATCATACCTTTAGATTCCCCTCGTCGTCCTCTTTGATTTATCACTAATTTTCTTGTCCGGGAAAAATCATCGCCAGAGCCACCCGTCGGAAGCCTTTTGCCGTCCGCCTGTCTTGCCATTTTCGCTTGGTTTGGCCGAAGTATGTGAATGGAAATGAGGGAGGGAGCTTTGTTGCTATAATAGGAAGATGGGTATGCCAAAGATCATTACACCCTCATTAACATTCCCGCCTTTTAAGAAATAAGCAACGGGAAATATGATGTATTTCTAAACTTCTAGAATTTATTTCCCAAATACATTATAATTACCTATAAGAGTCTATATATTA